CATGGCTGGTCTTCCTCAGCAAAAAGAGGAGGACTGGCAGATGTTAGCTCAGGGCCGATCTTCCTCACACACACACACACACAAAATGTTGTGCAGAGACCCCCTCAGTCTGGGTTTGTCTGAGGTTTTCTCCCATGTGATTGGGTTTGTGCATTCTTGGGAGGGAGAGCATGGATGAGAGGTGCCCACTCAGTGCATCTCACCAGGTGCACATGATGTCCTATGGGCTCCAGTGATGTTAACCTTGATTTCTTTTGCTTAGTGTTTGCACAGTGTATCTTCGTCCCTCATTTTACTTTTAACCCATCTATGTCCTTATATTTAACTGAGTTTCTTGTAGACAATACATAGTTGGTTCTTTTTTATCTAATCTGACAATCTCTGTTTTTTCGCTGGTGTATTTAGACCATTCATATTTAATGTGATGATTGATATGGTTGGATTAAATTCTACTATTCTATCTTTCTAGCTATTTTCCAAGATCATGACTAGGGTAAGCAAGGTGTCTAGGGTACAAAATTTTAGAAGACATTTACTCTCATGTTCATGCAAGTGCTGAACTCTGTATTGCATAATCCTTAGATTTTTGCACCTATGGGCCTTGCTTGCCTCACCCTAGTCCTAGCCTTGCTGTTTTTTATTTGTCCCATCTGTAATTTGTTTCATTTTTCCTCTTTTTCTACTTCCTGTTGGGTTAATTGAGCATTTTTATGGTTCTATTTATCTCTTCTATTGATTTATTATTTATATCTCTATTTTTTTTGTGTGTGTGTGAGGAAGATCAGCCCTGAGCTAACATCCGTGCTAATCCTCCTCTTTTTCGCTGAGGAAGACCAGCTCTGAGCTAACATCTATTGCCAATCCTCCTCCTTTTTTCCCCCAAACCCCCAGTAGATAGTTGTATGTCATAGTTGCACATCCTTCTAGTTGCTGTATGTGGGACGCAGCCTCAGCATGGCCAGAGAAGCGGTGCGTCGGTGCGTGCTTGGGATCCGAACCTGGGGCGCCAGCAACAGAGTGTGCGCACTTAACCACTAAGCCACTGGGCCGGCCCTATACCTCTATTTTTAAAAAATTGCTGGTTGCCATAGGGGTTACAATATACTTATTTAATTAATCAGAGTTTACCTTCAAATGATATTATAATGCTCACATGTGGTGTGCAGACTTTTTTTTACGTGCAGCTTAAGCAGTATAGTCCCAATTCTTCCTTCCCATCCTTTGTGCTGTTACTATTACTGTTGTACAGTTTACTTTTTTTTTTTTTGAGGGAGATTGGCCCTGTGCTAACATCTGTTGCCAATCTTTCTTTTTTCTCCCCAAAGCCCCAGTACATAGTTGTATATCATAGTGTGGAGTTGTAGCTCTTCTATATGGGACGCCGCCTCAGCATGGCTTGATGAGCAGTGAGTAGGTCCGAGCCCAGGATTCGAACCTGTGAACCCCGGGGCGCCAAAGCAGAATGCGAGAACTTAAACGTTATGCCACTAGGGTGGGCCCTGTACGGTTCACTTTTAAATGTGCTATAACCAAATAGTATTTTGCTATTTTTTTGCTTTAGTTTGTCATTACCTTTTAGCACAATTAAAAATAGGGACATTTTGGGGCCGTGGTGTAGTGGTTAAGTTCGGCGCGCTCTGCTTCGCCAGCCCAGGTTCTGGTTTGGATCCCAGGTGTGGACCTACACCAGCTGTCAGCCATGGTGTGGCAGCAAACCACGTACAAAATAGAGGAAGATTGGCACAGATGTTCGCTCGGGGCTAACCTTCCTCAAGCAAAAAAGGAAGAAGTTTGTCAACAGTTGTTAACTCAGGGCGAATCTTCATCAGCAGAAAAAAAAAAAAAATAGGGACATTTTCATTTTAGTTTACTTTGAGCTTTCCATTTCCAGTGCTCTTCACTTCTCTATGTGGATCCATGTTTCAGTGTGATATCCTGTTTATTCTCCCTGAATGAATTCCCTCAGTGCTTTTTCTTTTCATTTCTGCTGTCAACTTTTTAATTCTCAAGAGCTTTCTGTTTTGTTTTATGACTGTCTCTTTTTTGTAGTGTCCTATTCTTGTTTCATGAATGTCTTCTCTACTGTCTCTGAAGATACTAAAGAGACTTTGTTTTTAAAGTTTTATCCTCCCGGCATCATCTGTTTCCTCACAGTTACTTTTTTCCATTTGTTTGTTTATTTGTGTCTCTTTCAGGGGAGATCTACTGTGGGTGATCCTGGTCTCTCTGTTGATATTTAAGAGCAGGTGGCTGGCTAGCAGGATGGTTAGAAATTCTGAGTGAGGAGGTGAGGTTTGTTTGGCTGGGTATTTTCATTGAAGAAACCCTGCTATTTCTATATATCTTGCTCTTTTCTCTTGGGCTGGCCATATTCCCGGGAGAGCATTCTTCTAGTCTCCTGCCAGGAGGGCTAAGGCCTAGCTGCTGGCTTTCTGTGAGCCAGCAATGACCACAGTCATTGTTTAGAACTTAGACCAACGAAATATTCTTTTCAGGGAGGAGTATTTTCTCACTGACATTGTTTAGAATTACTGTCATATGGTGATTAAAAGTAGACCAACTTTTAGTCACTTTTATTATTGTCTTTAAGTCCTTTTCAAACAATGCAGCCCCCTGTTGCCTGCACCCGAGGGGGGTGGACCACTCCCACCCTCCCGCCCTCGGGGTGTCACCCAGTAATATTTTTCTCCGCCTGCTAAGCTCTGGGTTGTTTCAATCTTCTCCGGTTGGCTTTTGCCTCTTCTGTCACCTCCAAAGCCAGCTCTCTGCATTAAAATTCCTGTATTTTAAATACTCCCAGTGGTTTCTGTTTTTCTGGTGGGATCCTGATTGACCCCATTTCCAATCTTGCTATGGCTGTGTTTGCAGACTCCCGCTCATGTGGATAGTTTCCCAGCATCCTTTGCCATTGCGGATTGTGAGCTCATGTGCAAGAGCGCCTTTTCTGTGGGACTCTTGTCAGCTGTGGTGGGGACTGTGTCCCACCAGAGTGCTTTGACTTTTGCTCTGGATAGATCCCAGAGTTCTTTCCTGAAGCCTTTGTTTTTTTAATGTCAATTTTTCGTGTAGGGGTTTCTGACACACATGCATAGGCTGAATTCGAACCTCAGACCCGTGAGGAACAGGCCTGTGGTTAGAACTCCCAAGGAGACTTTATTTCCTCATCCAGAACCCAGGCTGGGTCAAACCAGCTTCCCTGCTACCTCCATGAGCCGCGGGCAGATTTTATTTCCGTTCCCTCTTCATCCCAGCTCCCCACTTCACAGACCTAAAGCTTCATTTCCTGTCTACACTTGGGGGGTCAAACTCAAGCCCTAGACCCCTGAGCCCACTACCCCACCACAGTGCACAGCCCCCAGGGCTGCTGTTCCCTCCAGGGCTTATCATGCTTCCTCTTCCTCGGTTCTTGGGGATTTCCCTTACTATCTGGGGAGTTCAGCTATGAATTTACAGAGACACCCGGCACACTGGTGTAGTCTTTCCAGCATTTCTAGGTGTTTGGACAGAGACCTGCTTAAGTTCTCCAGTCTGGCAAGTTTCAGAGACTAGAAGTCTCACACACGGTTTTAAAACTCAGGAGATTTCACATGAAAATCTGCATTTCTGGCTTCTCTTGCTGGGAAAAATAAAAAGGAAGAACCGGCAACTATGATTCCCCAGGTCCTTGTTGGCCACAGATACAGCTTTGCTCTGCAGTTTGCCCAACTCCCCACCACTCCTTTATTGTCCCACACTGGCCTTCCGGGCCCCTGGGGGCGTTTGCATTCACCACGCTGCCCTTTCCCAAGTCCCAAGCCTGGCCTGCGTCCCTCCTCCCACCTGCCTCCGAGTCCGCTAACGCTCCGCTGGAAACCTCCACCGCGACCTTCCTGCCCGCGGGTCCGCAGCGGCGCGGACGGCGCCAGCGCCAGGGCGCACGGGAGCCACCTGTTGACACAGCCCGGGCGATCCGGCCGGTCAATTATTAACCAGCCGCGCGGCCGGCACCAGGAAACCCGAGCCGGCGGCGAAAGCGGAGCCGGGCCCAACGGCGGC